AAGGAGTTCCTGTCGTTCCTTCTCGGACAGCCGCTCCCAACCCTGAAGGCAATATCCCACAAGCAAACACCCAACGCCTTTCCAAGGGAGTGTGGCATGCAGGCGGCTGGCGTCTAAGGTCTGGGGCCCCAAACTGACGCGGAGCCGTATGCCCAGGGCATCGTGCCCTGCCAGCGGAACACCGCCAACTGGAGATTCTTGCCAGACGTCGCCGTCCCGGAAAAGGCTGAGTGGCAGAAGCAGGTTGGGGAAACCAGGCACGTTGCAGGAGTCAACGTGCGGTTCCGCGCGCAGGTTTGTGAACACAGCAGCATTCGTGAATGCGTGGCCAGGGAAGTGCTGGCGAAGTAGAGCACAAAAGAAACGTGTCACAGCGGGGAAACGTTTCGTGAAGCCGCGAACGCCCGCACGGGCACCCCAGGTCCACATGCCGCAGGTCCAGGAGTGAGAGGCACTATGCGCTTGGCCCCGTGCGGGGACCTCAGAGGGAAGCAGGCAAAGAATGCGCCGGGCAGCTTCAAGCGAAGGGCTGTTGACAGAGGCACGGGCAAGATGCTCCGCACGAGCCACGTCCACGACCCACTGGCAGGGCGAAGGCTGTTCACGTAAGTCAAGAGCCACAGCAGGCCTGGGGGCAGAACAGGATGCATCATCAGCGCGGACTGGCGCCTGCACAGTCGCTTCACGTACAGGTGCTTCAGGGCGGGGCTCGGTATGGGGGTCCACCGGGTCCATTCCGGGCCCTTTTTCCGCCGTTCTTTTGTCAGAAACCGTCCGTTCTTTTGGATGGCAATTCGGACGCAAAAGAACGGACGCTCTTGGGGAACTTGGAAGCCCCCAAAACCCAGCAACAAGCCCCACATCGGACCCCAGCGAACCCTCATAGGGCTCGGGTTGGGGTGGCAGGTCACTTGCAGAGCCAGGTGACCTGACGGACGCGGCAGTGCTAGTGGGAACAACAGAGGTGCTTAAGGAGGGAGCAACCGGGGGCCTAGGGGAGGGAGGAGACTTAGGGAGCAGAGACACGGGCTCACCAAGGGGCCTGTATGCAGGAGAAAGATTAGCCCGTTCGCGAACTTCCAGAACAGGTTGGCCTGAAGCGGGGAGATCGCGAGACTCATCTGTGCAAAGGGCAGGAGTCAGCACCTGCGGGGGAAGGTCAGACATCTTCGCCACGTCAGGCTGGCTAGCAGAAAACGAATTCGAAGTGACACTGGTCGAAGCGGCTTCTGGCGATAGTCACTCTTTGCGCTGGCACTGCATGAGGCTATGATTGCCGAAACAACGCGCGCAGACATGGGCACGGGGGCAGTTGGCCACCCGGCACTCCCCAAGGCTGAACCCGTAGCAGATGGCTTTGCCATCGGGCGTTTGGGCTTTGCCACCCTTGTCGAGAATGGCCTTGGGGACAGCCGCACGGTTGGCAGCACCTTTGCCTGGACCTTTCGGGGGGCGAGCAGGCGGGTCCTTGGGCGCAGGGGGAATCTTCTCAGCTTTATCATCCTTCTTGCCCTTGTCATCTTTGGTCTTCTTGCGCTTCCTTCCTCGACCGCCGCCACTCCCAGCAGCCGTGCTTCCACGAGGGATCAAGACGAAGGAAACGCGATACGACGAGAGCGCTTCAAAGAGAGCGTCATCCATGGCGCGGGATCCGTCACTCTTGCGCCGGGGCCGGATTCCTTTCTCAAGCATCCACACATGAACCAAGCGGTCAGCCTCGACAACTTGATGCAGCTGGCAAGCACCCCCTGGCAGGGCGTCGGGGTTTGTCAGGTGTCGCATCAGCTCATTGACGTATTTTTCATGTGCAAGAAAATCAACCACGTCTGCAAATGCCAGCGCCAGTCCTCGACGACGGAATGCTGCAGAGAGGAGCAAGGGGTTGTGAACTTGGGCGTCACACGGGAGCTCCTGGTCCTTGAGAACAAGCCGCTGCTGCTCCAGCTCGACGACACGGGCGAGGGGCTTGGCAAGGGCTACCTCGCTCAAGCGGGAGGTGCATTTCTCAGGGGCGATATACCTTATCTCATCCAGCGAACTCATGGTGCAGGCCAATTCCAACAGGGCCCGGCTGGGCTCCGCATCACCTTCTATGATCACACCGGAAACCTTGGCCTTTAAAGCAGCCATGCGTTTGTCGCGCTCTGCTTCTGCAAGGGGTCGGGCGGCAGAGGCACTGGGGTTGGTAACCTGGTCCTTGAGATCTGCCAAGGTAAGTGTTTGCGCCTCGAAGACGAGTCGGCGTACACTCGCAGCTTCCCCGGCTGATGCGGCGGGGATGGAGGTTTGGACCCAAGTATGCCACTGATCATCGGCTAGCTGTTGACCTGGTTGGCCCACGCAATAAGCGAGCTGCCCAAGAGTCTCAAAACCCAGACGCGTCAAGGTACGTATGAGGGGCTCGCCGATGCGGAACAGCTTGCATCTCGCCTGAAAGTGAGCGGCAGACTCCAGCACAGACATGGGGCTCTCACGCAGCGCACTCGAGAGGCTACTTAGGGGCACCTACTTCACATGACAGAATGCACCCGAACAACTTCACATGACTGAGTGTAACTGAACATCAAGATGTCAATCAGGAATCAACACAACAAATCATGGCATGAAAGCATTGGTCATGTCGTCACCAACCTCGACTTGATGGGGGGGCGAGAGAGAACAAGCAGCCGACATGACTCACGTTCACTCATGCTCAACCCCCCCCCCCCTTGTCCGTGCACTCGACCGAAAAAGGCAGACAGCAGCATGACAGTTGTGAGGGCGCAACACTTCATTGCAGACCCTAGGTCGACTACTTACCTTCGCAAGCAGACGGACCCGACTTTTCCACAACCGTCAAATGCATCGCCGGCAACCTTGACACTCGACCGCATCCAGGTCAGCATCCTCGGCAACTCTGTACGCATCGGAGCGCACACGTCCGCATGCAAGAACTTGAAGGCACGCATCAAGAGTGCTTTGGCCGCGGACCAAGTGCAACTTGCGGGAACGACGGTGGATCACCCAGACGTCGGACTCATCCCGTGTCTCAGGCAGAAAGCGGCGGGCCTTTTTGCTGAGGGGAGGGCTGGAGGAATGGGTCACACTGTCCGAGCTGCTGCTTCGGGAGGCCTCAGAATCAGAGGAATCCTCACTACTCTCATGCGCAGACTCCTCGGCTTCGGAGGCGGAATCTTCAACTTTGATGGCTCCGGAGGGTCGCACGACAGGCAAAATCGGTGCTGGGCCAGGAGAGGCTTCACAGGACTCACTCCAGAAAGCGCGTAAAGGAGCATCTGGCATGAACACCCCAAGAGCAACCTGATGCAACAAGCGAGAAAAGGCCAACGACGGGGCCGCGCTGAGATCACGGCTGTACACAACCTCAGTCGTGAGTTGATTGCGAGCATGCCGACCCAAGACAGCACAAGTATCACGGTCCATGCCAGCGCGCGTGCCAGCCTTGGATGCCCAGGACAGGCCAGTGACCTTGAGGGAATGGGAGGACACGCCGGAGTCCTCAGGCAAATCGAGGGCTTGACGAAGCATCCTGGACACTTCTTGCGAGGACACGGGGCGAGCACAGAGGGCAGAGCACTCAGCATCAAGGGGTGGGCGGAAAATGGGCCCGTCAATCTTGCCAATTAAACACAGGTTAACAGCTTCAAACGCCTGGATTGCAAGAGGCAGCCAGGGACGAGAGACCACTCCCTGTGCAGGGACCAAGATATGCAAAAACTGCGCCTTCTTCTTGGCGGTGGTCGAGGTCTTGTGACGACCTGTTCGAATCTGCAGAAAGCCCGAAACACCATCGAAATCGCTCTCCAGGTCCCAGATGCACTGCAGGTCAGAGTGCCGACATCGTCCATAGACGGCGATCAAGGCATATGCAGCGAAGCAACGCAACAGGGGGTCGTCGCTGCCTTCGAGAAGTTCATGCAATTTGCAAACCTGATCAACTGTTAATGCACGAGCCTGCTTGAGCCAACGGGTCTTAGCAGCCAACTGCTGACTGGCACCGACGATGCGCCGGCTAGAAATGCATACCTGCACATCCACCTCAAGGACGTAGTGCAAGAACCGCATGGCAGAAAGCAACGTCGAACCGCTGGTCGGAGGCTTGTTTTCTTTCTTCAAGTACTGAAAATGTTCCCAAACAAGAGTCTCTTGGAACACACCCGAGAAGGACAGATTTGCAAGGGGCTGACCATCGACCCAACGAAGACAGGCGAGGAGGGAATTGGCCCTCTTGATCAACGTGTAGGGGCTGCGGAGCCCCGTCCTGGCCTCAATGTCCTCAGGGTCGGGCGGCTGTCCTGTGCACCGTTCCACGACGACACATAACTTATTGATTGCAATGTGAAGCAAACTTCCAAGGGTCTCATTAATATCGCAGTCAGCAACATTAGAAATCGTGGTCTGAAAGAATGACTTCAAGTCGGTCACATGCTCCAAGCACTCGACCAGCCGATCAGGCGTGCTCACCTCTGGCGGTAACAAGGGCTCCAAGGATGGGGATTGCACAGCAAAGTCGGCATCATCACTGAAAATGCACTTCATAGGACCTTGCTCCCACGGCAGACGGATTTGCGTCAAATTTCGGGATGCAACAACCTGTTGGCAAACAATCTGATCAATGAAGCTGGTGTCAACGCGGGACTCGAGAGGTAAACCTGCACAACCCTCAGAATCAGGATGACGGGTGTCATCTTCAGTGTCAGGAGAGCAAGCCCCCAGTGGGCCAACACCTGCATCTTCGGCGACGTTGAAGTCGCCATCGGACACTGAGACATTGTCGGAAAGAACAGAAGCAGTCCCTAAACTCCCCCCAACAGAAGCATTCCCTAAACTCCCCCCTTTATCCGAAAGCACAGTCAGCGGCCCAGGCGCAGGGGCCTCGAGGGCAATCACTGCACAGGCAGGCAAGGTCGGGGGCTCAGGCGGGAAAGGATGCTCCGCGACTGCGATCCAGCTGCTGGCGGAACCAGAGGCTTCAGTAGCACTGGCCGGATCGGACATGCTTAAGAAGGCAAAGTGAGCAATACGCGAAAGCAAGCGTGAGGACCTTTGGCTGTGCAGAGCAGCGAGGGCCAGCTGCGGAAAGGAAGTGCCAGCAAAATCCTGGAGCCCTCGCTCTGGCTCAGAAGCACGGCAACCAAATTGCTGTCAGCGACCCAAGACCAAAGGCCGGTGGGAGCGGCAACCTGATCACGCAGCAGATCGTCGTAGAAGGCTCTGGGGCGCAACAAAACTGGCCGAAACGGCGGCAGAGGCCCTGCAAGGATCAAAACGCGGTCGTGGCTCGAAGAAGAAGAAAAATCCTCAGAGCTGTCAGAACCGCTCATAACAGGGCCAAGGAACACACCATCCGCCAGTGGCCACGCCACTGGCTTGCACACGGCCTAAGGCCAGTCCCTTAGCACCCCTTACGAGACCTCTACTCTAGAACGCAGCCTCAGGCCCAAAGAAAATTTTCTGCATCTCTCAGCTGTCAGCCACTTGAGCCAAAATGGCAAATTTTCTGCATCTCTCAGCTGTCAGCCACTGTTACCGGGCATGAAGACTGCATACAAGCTGTCAAGGTGACATGCAGAGAGAACATGAAAGATGGGCATGCAGAAAATTTTGAAAGCACTGTGAAAACTCTTTTTGTTTTTCTTAAAGGCACGGTTGCAGGCAACCTAAGCGTTCGCTCCTCACGAAGGCGCTATCAACAAGTTGACAGCAAGCTTAAGGCCTCGGAACCCTCTTCGCTCGCACAGGTCTGCTATCTTCTTGCACCTCAGTTCCAGGAGGTGTTTCCCTCAGCCGTGGTGAGGCCGAACTATGTTGTCCCTCCGAGTGAGGCCGAAGACTTTCCACAATCCTCAGCTTATGCGAGGCCGACAACACCCTCAGCAGCGAGGTCGAAAGTTCCCTCAGCACTCGGCGAGGCCGTACACAGGCAGATATGTGGCTGGCAGAACTACCGAGCAAACACAGTGGTTTCGGTTTGAGTCCTGTTGGAGCCCACCCTTAGGTACAGCCTCCAGGCCACCGAACAGCTCACTACCTGCGCACCCCACCGGGGTTGAGCCGAGACTTGAGCCAAAATGGCTACGGTGGCTGCAAGTTCTGTCTGCACGCTGCGTCGCGTAGCCACCCGAAGGGGCCGTTGGTCAAGGTGAAACTAAACTAAAAATTACCTCGCTTGAGGTGTTGCGTTCTCAGCTAGGCCCTCTCTCAGCTGCAACCCTCAGCACTCGCGAGGCCGAACTTTGCCCTCCGCATGCATTGCTGTTGAGGCACTTGTTGTGGCATCAGCCTCCGTAAGTTTGGCAATCCCCACTCAGCACTGGATGTTCTGTTCGAGGCATATTCCTCAGCGCATGCGAGGCCGCAAAGTGAAACACGTGAGGTATGAAAGACTGCTACTCCAGGTTCGTCCGCAGCTCCGGCTTTCTCGCACTTACTAACCGTGCCTTGCAGCCTCCCCCAAAGTAGCGTCACCCTGGCTTTCTCGCTCTTACTCACCAGTTGACCAATAATGCATCTCACGCGGTTGCTTCATGGTAAAACTGCAGCTCGAGGTCCCGGCGTTCTCGCTCTTACTAACCCGGACCGACACTGCAGAGAAGCATTGACTGTTGTTCCCTCAGCGGAGGCGAGGCCGAACAACCATTCCGCTGCATCTGCGCAGCCAGGCCCTCAGCTCCTCACTGAGCCAGGGCTATCTCTAGACAGAGTTCCCTTGCTGGCAAGCCCTCTATCTCTATGTGACCCCCGCGGTGCCACGTATAAGCAGCTGCTCCGCGTGTCTTAGGACCACAGTTTTCATTCGGATTTGTTGTTGTAGGCCTTCCAGTGCTTGAGGCCGAATCCAAACACCACATCACACGTCACACGGCTAGGCAATTTGGCTCCAACATCTGAAGATAGTGACACATACTCTGCGTGGCGTCCGCGTGAGCTAGCCTGTCCTAGAGTTTAGGAGTTCGGCTCCTTTCATCGCTTGTCTTACCACAGGTCTCTTTCGGTGGCCCGTACTCAGCAGCCAGCACATGTACCATCCTCAGACGCCAGAGCCGCCTTGCCCCAGCAAGTGCCCATAAAACCACTCACCAGACAGTGAGAGCCAACATCTTCAAACAACCTCCAGCGGCCGTGCCGCGAGGACCTAAACATCTGCAAGGTTCCGCCTTGTCTGTGTGCACGGACAGACCCCAGCCCTTGCAGGAGACGTGGATGTAAACAAAAGCAGGCCTGCCATGTCCAGCAGGCTGATTACCATTGGTTGCCTTCAGATGGGAAAAGCGCGAAGATCGGGTAACCTCCATCTGAATCCTTTCCGGCCAATACCAACCCTTACAAACCCTCAGCACGGAGCGAGGCCGAAGGAGGCATTCTTGGACTATTGGTTTTCCGGGGAGCAGCCACCACAGCTGCTCTTCAACTTGCACTGCGCCGCACCACAGTCCTACTGCAAGTTCTTTGGCAACGGTTTCTCAGTAGCACCAGTCAATGAGCTTTACGACACTGATGCCTTTGGTTATTGTGTCCAGGCAGATCCACCAGGGTTGGGCCAAATCTGTTCTACCTGATTCTACCTGCGAAGAATATCCAGTTGTGCTCAGCTTGCAGATCCCCGAAAACCAGCAAACTCGGGCTCAAGCACACCGCTATTGTTCGGGACACTCCTGTCAACAACTGCAAGGATGCCGCTTGCAGTGCGACGTTGGCCTGCACTGTCTGCAACGTGCCTTGGCCGTTTTCCCCCGTGTTTCGGTCTCACCTTCGTTCTCCACACAAACGAGCGAGGAACCCAAACTCACCCTAACACACAGCCCTCAATCCAAATGAGGGTCGGCGGGTTTTGTTCACCCAGAGACAGCAGGAATCTCTGGTGAGCAACAGGCTCTAGCGTCACCCCTCAAGCAATTCGAGGCTGCAACTCTCACTGTGACCCAGAGCAGACTGTAGGCCACAAGGTTCCCTCAGCAACGCGAGGACGAAAAGCTTCCCTCTAGCGAAGCGAGGCCGAAAACTGTGCACTCGAACGTCCTTCGTCGTCGGCAGCAGTTGGCGGGCCGCCGCTCTATGACAGCTTAGCCGGTCAGCCGGCCTACGAGCAAACACAGTTTTGCCAGGGCCTCAAAACGGAACCTACCCTTAGTTACAAGCCCCAGGGCCAGCCACAACGGCACTAAAAACGCTCTCTACCTGAGCACCCCACCGGGGTTGAGCCGAAACCTTGAGCCAGGTGAATTTTACTTTCTTCTGCACGCTGCGAGGCGTAGCCACCCGAAGGGGCCGTTGGTCAAGGTGAAACTAAACTAAAAATTACCTCGCTTGAGGTGTTGCGTTCTCAGCTAGGCCCTCTCTCAGCTGCAACCCTCAGCACTCGCGAGGCCGAACTTTGCCCTCCGCATGCATTGCTGTTGAGGCACTTGTTGTGGCATCAGCCTCCGTAAGTTTGGCAATCCTCACTCAGCACTGGATGTTCTGTTCGAGGCATATTTCCTCAGCGCATGCGAGGCAAAGTGAAACACGTGAGGTATGAAAGACTGCTACTCCAGGTTCGTCCGCAGCTCCGGCTTTCTCGCACTTACTAACCGTGCCTTGCAGCCTCCCCCAAAGTAGCGTCACCCTGGCTTTCTCGCTCTTACTCACCAGTTGACCAATAATGCATCTCACGCGGTTGCTTCATGGTAAACTGCAGCTCGAGGTCCCGGCGTTCTCGCTCTTACTAACCCGGACCGATACTGCAGAGAAGCATTGACTGTTGTTCCCTCAGCGGAGGCGAGGCCGAACAACCATTCCGCTGCATCTGCGCAGCCAGGCCCTCAGCTCCTCACTGAGCCAGGGCTCTCTCTAGACAGAGTTCCCTTGCTTGCAAGCCCTCTATCTCTATGTGACCCCCGCGGTGCCACGTATAAGCAGCTGCTCCGCGTGTCTTAGGACCACAGTTTTCATTCGGATTTGTTGTTGTAGGCCTTCCAGTGCTTGAGGCCGAATCCAAACACCACATCACACGTCACACGGCTAGGCAATTTGGCTCCAACATCTGAAGATAGTGACACATACTCTGCGTGGCGTCCGCGTGAGCTAGCCTGTCCTAGAGTTTAGGAGTTCGGCTCCTTTCATCGCTTGTCTTACCACAGGTCTCTTTCGGTGGCCCGTACTCAGCAGCCAGCACATGTACCATCCTCAGACGCCAGAGCCGCCTTGCCCCAGCAAGTGCCCATTCAAACCACTCACCAGATAGTGAGAGCCAACATCTTCAAACAACCTCCAGCGGCCGTGCCGCGAGGACCTAAACATCTGCAAGGTTCCGCCTTGTCTGTGTGCACGGACAGACCCCAGCCCTTGCAGGAGACGTGGATGTAAACAAAAGCAGGCCTGCCATGTCCAGCAGGCTGATTACCATTGGTTGCCTTCAGATGGGAAAAGCGCGAAGATCGGGTAACCTCCATCTGAATCCTTCCGGCCAATACCAACCCTTACAAACCCTCAGCACGGAGCGAGGCCGAAGGAGGCTTTCTTGGACTATTGGTTTTCCGGGGAGCAGCCACCAACAGCTGCTCGTCAACTTGCACTGCGCCGCACCACAGTCCTACTGCAAGTTCTTTGGCAACGGTTTCTCAGTAGCACCAGTCAATGAGCTTTACGACACTGATGCCTCTGGTTATTTGTGTCCAGGCAGATCCACCAGGGTTGGGCCAAATCTTTTCTACCTGATTCTACCTGCGAAGAAAATCCTGTTGTGCTCAGCTTGCAGATCCCCGAACACCTGCAAGCTTGGGCTCGAGCACACCGCAATTGTTCGGGACACTCCTGTCGCCACTGCAAGGATGCCGCTTGCAGTGCGACGTTGGCCTGCACTGTCTGCAGCGTGCCTGGCCGTTTTCCCCCGTGTTTCGGTCTCACCTTATTTTCCACACAAGTGAGCGAGGAACCCAAACTCACCTTCAGCACAGCCCTCAATCCAAATGAGGGTCGGTGGGTTTTGCTCACCCAGAGACAGCAGGAATCTCTGGTGAGCAACAGGCTAGCGTCACCCCTCAAGCAAAGCGAGGCTGCAACTCTCACTGTGACCCAGAGCAGACTGTAGGTCACAAGGTTCCCTCAGCAACGCGAGGACGAAAAGCTTCCCTCCAGCGAAGCGAGGCCGAAAACTGTGCACTCACGCCCTTCGTCGACGGCAGCAGTTGGCGGGCCGCCGCTCTATGACAGCTTAGCCGGTCAGCCGGCCTACGAGCAAACACAGTTTTGCCAGGCCTCAAAACGGAACCTACCCTTAGTTACAAGCCCCAGGGCCAGCCACAACGGCACTAAAGACGCTCTCTACCTGAGCACCCCACCGGGG